TTGAAAAAAAATATTTGGTTCCTAAAAAATAATTTTGTCCAGTGTTTTGTAATAACTTTTTTTGTAATTTATTTTTGTACACATTTTTTTTAAGGAGAAAATTGTTAAAAAATTAAATATAACAATTGTCTAAGGTGTTAGGTCGAGTGGATATTTTTTTGTTAGTGACAAGTCCATCATTTGTTTTAATTTTACACCTTTTCTATCTGTTGAATTTTGTAACTATCTATTTAATTTTTTTTGACTATCTATTCAAATATTTTTTTTATTTATTTAATTTTTTGACTATCTGTTCAATTTCCCCCCTTATCTATTCAAATATATCTACAATTTTATTATCTGTTCAATTGTTTTAGTTATCTGTTTAAATCTATCTATCTTTGTCTCTCTATCTGTCAAAAATTGAATCTCTTTGTTCTTATCTGTTGAAAAACACTATCTATTGTTACAATCAATAGCAACAAAGAAAGAAAAAATAAATAATTAGAACAAGCTAGATAAAACAAAATTCCTATTTGTATCTCTTTCGTTGCATTTCTATGATCTGTTCAAATTCACACACAAATTTTATATATGTTTGTTTGTTCTATCTGTTCACCACTACCACCACCACCAACAACAATCATCAACAACTACACACAAAAAGAAATGGATTTGAAATCCACAAATCCAATTATACAGTCTTATATCCACAGATCACGAGCTAATGAATTCAAAAAGTGCCTTCCAAAGACCTAATTTCTTAATCTGATCACTAATAGAATCCCTAATAGAAGCAAAACTCAATAATCAACAACAAACAAGATTTAGGATCTGAGTCTCTTTAAAAAACATAAAAACCTACAAATAACAAATTATTGACATACAAATTTAGAGTAAAAAAGATGCAGCAACGATATGGAAGTTGGATCTAGGCTCGAATCTTCGAAGGCAGTGGATTGAAGTCGAATCTTGGCTAACGCTTCAGATCGAGGTTAGATTTGGCCTAAGACTTCAGATTCAAGTTCGGATCAATATTGAAGCTTGAGAAAAGCTTACCGAAAAATCGTCAATCGGGAGAGTGGAAACCGCCGATCGCCATCTTTAATCGGGGAAGAGTAGAAATCTTTGATTGCCATCTCCGATCTCTTTTTCTCCAACAAATCTCAAAAAGAGAGGGGCTAAATAACCGTCGTGGTGGCCGCGACAGTCACGGCGGTGGCGGAGAAAGATAAGAAGGCGACGACGTGGTGTTGGGGAAAGAGAAAAAGAGAGAGAGAGATAAATATTTATGAGAAGTTTGGTTTTGTTTTCACCTTTTATAATATACTAGCGGTCGGGCACACACGATGCGTGTGCAAACTCATTTAAAATTATAATATTATTTTGATATTATTTTTTTTAATAATATACATATAAACCATATGAATAATTATGTATAATGTAACATTTGATATTAACGTATTTGATAAATAAAATATATGCACATTACAATATGTACACGTCTTTTAAAAATTGAAATATTTACTAATCTTAAGTAAAAAAACTGTACAATAAAAATTTATATAAAATTTAAATTTGGTAACATGAGATCGGAGATCCTGCAAATTCTGCAAAAAAAAAAAAAAAGTATATATAAGATATATATTTATCATAAGATTACTAATAGTATACATTGATTAAATTAAAATTTTACGTTCTTAAAATGAGTCATAATTATACATGAGTTTGGTTTTATAATTGGGTTATTATGTATAAAGACACAAAAGGTAATTATTGTGTTAATTTTTTATAAACAAAATCTAAAAATTAAAAACTTACATATTGACATAGATTGACATAGTCCATATCAAATGTCACGTTCAATGATCTCTTCAAATTGTTTCGATGCAATTTTTGCCATAGATCTAGGACAACATTAAATTACAAAAAATAAGATGGAAGTGACCAAAAATGGAGTACATAACTTTAGTTATACATATAAACCTATAAGCAGATTACCTTGTCACAATGTTGCACATATATTTGTAAGCTTTCAATTTTTGTATCATTCGTTGCCGAGACAAGGCGCAGAAAAGGGTTTGGAAGTCCGGAGGTAGGGCTCACAGCCGCGACTCTGAAACTTCTGAACAAGCACATTATGCAACATCACCAAGCGCTTAATCGGTGACGTCTGAGTCTTAAGGTCGGTCAAAAATGGGGTGTCTACAGTGACCAAAAATGGAGTACATAACTTTAGTTATACATATAAACCTATACGCAGATTACCTTGTCACAATGTTGCACATATATTTGTAAGATTTCAATTTTTGTATCATTCGTTGCCTATAAAACTGAAGAAAAATATCTCACTTCTTTGTAAGTTGATTGTTTGACAAATTTATAAAATCTAAAATTAATCTGTAAATTCACAAATATGAATATATGGAGCATAGTAGTAAACCTCATAATACTTGATGCAAATACCACATATATGTCCATATTGTCTTTGCTGCATATACTTGCTCTATCAAATATGATATGATTTCTGTAAAAAGATTACAATAACTATTAGAAAATGTAACATATTGAAATTATTCACATAAAATGCCGCAAACACATTATCATACCGATGTTGTCGTTGCCTTAAAAGCTCTCGCATAATTAATTTTCTCAATTGTTTTTTATCAACTTTAATAGAGATCTTCCATCCAAGACTATATATGGAGAACTGTTTGACCTACACTAATTTAAAAGGTATAGTCAAACACAAAATATATGCGAATATTGTCAGATTAAATAGCCAAAATTTGACAAACATTATTTTTTGAACATAAGTGAAGCCAATACCTGATTTGTAACTTTCTTAGCTGCAACCATATTTGACTCCTCTTGATATTTCTCCCAAAGCTGAAGTAGCTTTATTTTTTTAAGTATTCCTTCAATCAATAATTATATGAAGATATATTATAAGTATATTGAATGTAGATTAAAAAAATGACATAATATAAGCTCAATAAGAACATATTTGGTACATACCTCCTGTATCAATAATTTGGTAACAGAACATCATTATAGACTACATTGCAGGTATACACTCCTTCTTCATTATTAACTGAACCCTTTTTAACCAAGAGTTTTGTTGCCTGATCTGACACCCTTCGAGATAAAGCAATATATAGTTGTCCATGACTAAATACATGATTCGGAAGGTAAATTCCCACATGTGGAATTGTTTGACCTTGTGATTTATTTATCATCAAAGCAAACTAAGGCGAACTGGAAATTGTGTGCGAGTCATTTCAAATGGAAGTTTTAAGTTTTTCGAAGCCTTTAATGGAATGCGATGCAGGAAAACACTCGTGCCTTTGCAATGTCCTGTTAAAATCTTTGAATCTTTGAAATTATCGTTCAAAGCTCAACACAATAGCCTTGTGCCATTGCACAAACCAGAAGAAGGGTCTAGATTCCTCAAAAGCATAATTGGGGCTCCAACTTTCAAATGCAATGCATGTGAGGGCATTCCTTCGGGTGAAATGGAATTTAAAAACTCTTGTTGATATAAATTTTGGTTATCATTTTCAACTTTATCAAATGAGTGGTACACTCTTGATTCTCCTGAAAATATCTGAATGATTCTCATTGAGCTTGTCGACATCTTCATTGCGAGGAGTTATTATGCCTGTACTAACCATATACTCGGCGCCAAAAGAATGGTTTCTGATATCAGGATAAATTTCTTCTAATAGTTGAACTATTGATTCTTCGTCATTCCATGGTATTGCCATTGATGTTGGTACCTTGATCATTTCATCTATAATGGTAAGTTGTACACCATCTCGAACAGATAAAAGAAATTCACCAAACTGTTGGTCATTTATATAGCACATGTTTTGCTTTAAACGAACTTATTTGATGTGACTCCAGAGAGGTGATTTGACTATCGATACAGCAATAGTTTCAGCTTTTGTACCTTTAGGAACAACTGGAAGTACTTGTCGAAAATCACCACCAAACACCATAATTTTGCCACCAAATAGATAATCAACACCAGTGATGTCTATGAGTGTTTGATTCAAAGCTTCAAAAGCATAATGATTTGTCATTGTAGCTTTATCCCAAATGATGACTGTTGCACGTCTAATCAGTTCTGCCAAATCTGATTGTTTAATAATGGAACACATGGACGAAGCCTCTGGATTTAATGGGATCTTGAATCTTCAATGGGCTGTCCTTCCACCAGGTAAAAGTGTAGCTGCAATTCCAGAAGTTGTTATTGCAATGGCAGTTCGACCTTGACTTCTCACTAAGGCCATTAGTGCATGATATAAATATGCCTTCCCAGTTCCTCCTGGGCCATCCACAAAGAAGATTGCACCAGTATTACATTCCACAGCCTCCATGATTGAATTAAATGCTAAGTGTTGATCACTATTTAATGTGGCAATAGAATTTAAGTCTTCTCGAGGAGTTACAATGGAAAGCTCATCTTGTATGACCTTTGGAACTGTTGAATTATCATCCAAATTCATTGTCATCTCAGGCAAATCGTATTTTGATATGTTCTTATTATGCTGTAGCAGGAGACGGTTTATATCTTGCAGGGTTTTGTTAAGGATATACATATTATTCATACTGCTTGAAGATATGTAATCTTCAATCAAGTAAGGATAAATTTCATCCCACAAACTTCGCACCCTTGTTGGCACAGAGTAAACCAAAATTGTAGCGAACAATCTCCTTAAAGTTAATGGCATGTGCATGGTTGCAGCTACTAACAAACATTGTCGTATGCTATCATCATGCTCTAACAAACCATGATGTTTATCTGCCTGTTTAAAAGTTGGGTACGCAATTCCATTAACCACTAACAAATGATCGAATGATTTTGGTCCTCGGATATGATTGAGTAAAATTCTCATGTAAAATCTCTCCCATTCTGATGGCAAAACTGTGTAAATTCTACCAATTACTCTTTGATGGTTCAATCTCAACTGCCAAATCTTTGCACTATTGCACCATCTATAATGTTCCGGAATCTCTCAATATAAGTACCGATTTGCAGTTTCATCATCAACATTTAAATGAAAGAATTGGGTAAGCATTGTTCTGGAATAATACTCATCGCCCAAAACATTTGTGATGTCTTGAAACGTATAAAACCTCACTTGCTGCTTATTTGGTAAGTGTATTTGGAGGCGTTCTACACTAGGAGTCATTTTGGTCATTGGGAATTTGAATATTTTCCACAATGCTTCTGGAGCACAAACCCATCTTCCATCTATGAACTGTTGTACTTCATCATAATTAGGACCTTGACGAACTTCTAGTGCAACATGGCTAGGCCCTTTATAAACATATTTGTATAAATACTTCACATTTGTAACACTACTATAAATTTCAAGATTGATATGACAATCATATTTTAAGAGCAACCATGAGTTGTACAGAATGACCCAATTATTATCCACCAAGACGCTTAGGTTACTCTCTAAAGGAACTGACTCCCTTTCTCTTCTTCGATAAACAAGATATGAATCGTTTCCAAGTGTAGTAATGGAAGAAAATGGCTTTGGGAAACATCTTTTGCACCGGCCATTTGTTATACACGGGGACCGTTCATTGTACATTCCACATGGGCCATGTATCATGTGTTTGAGAACTACACTGTATAATCTAGGCTCTAATTTCTTGTATGGAATTTCAGCTCTGACAATGTTATCATAATCATCAGGAGTGCATAATTTATCATTTTCATCCAAAATAGCGACCATGTGGGCATGTGGTAAGCCTCTTTTTTGGTACTCAATAACATATACATATGCTAGAACCTTCCCGGGTACATGTTTTGTAAGAATGTCGGTCTTCATCTCATCAAATTTCGAATGAAATATTCTTGTTAGCAAATCAGGACGATCATGTGGTGACTGTCCAGGTAGTAACTCAGCTTTAATTTCAGGCCAATTTGGATTGCAGGTCATTGTAAGGAAAAGATCAAGTTTTCCATACTTTTGGACCAGAGCCATTGTATCTTGATATCGCTGATACATGTCTCGTGGGCTACCAACAAATGACGATGGTAATATTGTTCTACGACCAACATTACCTAAACAAATATTTCACAAAAGAAATATATATATATATATATATGTATGAATATAAACAAACATGCGTACATGTAATTGTAACACCGTATGTGACAATTTGTACCTCCATAATTTTCACCAGCATGTACTACGTCTAGAACACCTTGATAAAAATATGCTCGAATGTGATTCTGATGAGTACGTATCCATCTTAATTTGTTGGACTCAATCTTCACGTAATTATCTACGACATACTGCTGTAAGAGGCAACCTCCTCGAAGAAAAAGAGATTGATCACCAGGGCGAATCTAAATTGACAGTATTTGAATACTTATAAATAATTAAAAGTAAAGATTTTATACGAAATAATTATAGATTAAATAACTTCGATGAAGTAATTTTTTAATATTATGTGTACGTCGTTACCTGTAGCATATAAGAATAGAAATCACAACATGTTACTTTTCTGCCATCATTACTTCTGGTATTTGCATCCTATCCATATGAACCATAGGGCAACAACAGAGGATACTGTAATGGATCATAGTATCCGACAATATCAGAAATATTTAGGAAGTGACCACTGGTTGATTGGACAATGATATCTCTTGGTTTTAAATTTCCAGCTTCTTCGCCACCTACTAAAACGGCAACAACTTCAGGAGCAGTAGGAAGGTTGTATTGGGGCCTATTACGTGGTTGCTCTTTGATTTGAAGTCTGCATTCATGTATGTTTGGACGCTGAGCCAATTGGCGAAACGTGTGTACAAATGGATTCGATTTTTCATTTTCAGACAAATCCAAGTGTGATTCTTCATTTTCAGACATTCGATTCTCATTCTCGTGGTCAGTGTCATAAACATACAGTTGCAAATATCTCGGTCTGTCATTAGAATTTGGTAAGAGACTCCTAATCTTATGATATATGGCTTCTTGTGCACGAAACGTGTACACACCTCGAGTTCTTGTTGCTAAGTTTTCATTAACATGAACACCCATTGAAGTGAATGAGAAAACATGATTGTAGGCTCGAATATGTTGTCTGAAATGACGACCCTCCACTGTTTGGTCAGAAAAAATATCAATCATCCACTACAAAAAAAACTGTTTTTTGCGACGGCAAAACGCCGTCGCAAATAATCAAAACGCCGTCTCAAAAGCTATTTGCGACGGTAAATTTTTTTTTGCAACGGCAAAGGGGGGTCGCAATAGGGGGGGTTGCAAAAGACCTTTAGCGACGGCACTTGCCGTCGCCATTGTTTTTGCGACGGGAAATTTTTTTTTTTGCGACGGCAAATGTCTGTCGCCGATAGTGGATGAAGATCTGGGCTTTTTGCGACGGCATACGCTTGCCGTCGCTAATGAGATTTTGCCGACGGCACAATTCCGTCGCAAAAAATGGCGTCGCAAAAATGTTGACTATTGGCGACGGCAATTTCACCGTCGCTAAAGCCTTGTTTCTCAAATAAATTCAAAACCTTTTGCGACGGTATGGCTGCCGTCGCAAAAAAGCCTGACACAGCCTTTTTTTTTATTTTTTTTTTGCGACGGGGTGTTCTACCGTCTCAAAAAAACGGGATGTTCTGCCGTCTCAAAAAAAAATTAAAAAAAAACCCCTGTTTCACAATTATTTAAAATATAAAAATAACCTGTAATGTTGGCAAATGATATAATAATATAAATACATAAATAAAATAACTAATGTTGGCAAGTGAAAAATAGCTAAAAAAAAAACAAAAAATGACATAATAATATAAATCCATACATAAACAAAAGTTGGCAAATGATAAAAATTCCTAATGTTGGTCACATAATACATATATAATGTTGGTCACAAATTTAAATAACATAAATCAAAATCAAAACCGGCATCAAACACATCCAGAAGGAATAAACTCAATTCCTCTTCTTTCTTTTTTTTAGCTGTTTGGGATGTGATTTTGATGTGTATTCAGTGATTTTTTTTTTGTGATGGAATAAACTCAATATTCTGGAATAATATTAGAAGCATAATGTAGAGTCCAATATTAATTTTTTGTTTGCCATTGGCTATGTTCATGCATTGATATCTCAATTTATGGATAAAATCGAATCTCTTGATAATTATGGGTGGCTTTTTTAGCACAAATTTACAAAGCAAAAATCCAGCTTCAGCTTGTAACAAGTTCTGTGAGGTGGGTTTATGTGAGGTAAGTATGTGTTCAAGTTGATATTTCTAGTTCCAATTAGCATTTATAAATGAAGTAAGTCTACCTCTAGTCCACTAATTGAATTGAAGGAACTAGTTTATGGGCGGTAAGTCCATTTTAAGTCTATTTCAATAATTTAAATTATTTATATTTTAGTATTCACTAAAGAGATTATTTGTATAAATAATTAAGTTAATTCAATATTAGTATCATCATAATTAGATCATATTAACCATCACTTAACACACAAAGTTTAATTTTCACTTTTATTATTTTTTGTCAATTAACTAACACTTCAATACACGATTTTAATTATATCATTGTGGATGTTTTCAATCACTCAACCTTAGTTTATATAGATAAGAGGCCCTTTTATCCATTACTAATTATTTTTGGGTTGGATGGCTCCATTATTCATCCTATCATGATATCAAGACTGATTAAAAGATTTATTAATATTTCAACCATTGATTCAATCTAATTACTTCTAGTGTTCCAAATTGATAACTACTAAAAAGTTATATATATTTTTTATAAGAAAAATTATACTACTTTTTGTATGGATGGCATATTATCAAGTATTACAAACTATGAAATACTATATCATATATATTTTGTATAAATTGACAAAATATTTTGATAAGTTTTTTAATTTAAAATCCCTAATATTAGGATTTTGTAAGATAAGGGATATGCAACATATTCATAATAGTTGGGGTCTCTTAACATTTTTACAGAAATTTTTTTTTCACGAACAAATTTCAACTTTTAAAGAAAAATTTACAAAAAAATTTCAGTTCTAATATTATTGAGAGATTTTAACTAATAAGAAAATATATATATATATATATATATATATATATTTTCTTATTAGTTAAAATCTCTCAATAATATTAGAACTGAAATTTTTTTGTAAATTTTTCTTTAAAAGTTGAAATTTGTTCGTGAAAAAAAAATTTCTGTAAAAATGTTAAGAGACCCCAACTATTATGAATATGTTGCATATCCCTTATCTTACAAAATCCTAATATTAGGGATTTTAAATTAAAAAACTTATCAAAATATTTTGTCAATTTATACAAAATATATATGATATAGTATTTCATAGTTTGTAATACTTGATAATATGCCATCCATACAAAAAGTAGTATAATTTTTCTTATAAAAAATATATATAACTTTTTAGTAGTTATCAATTTGGAACACTAGAAGTAATTAGATTGAATCAATGGTTGAAATATTAATAAATCTTTTAATCAGTCTTGATATCATGATAGGATGAATAATGGAGCCATCCAACCCAAAAATAATTAGTGATGGATAAAAGGGCCTCTTATCTATATAAACTAAGGTTGAGTGATTGAAAACATCCACAATGATATAATTAAAATCGTGTATTGAAGTGTTAGTTAATTGACAAAAAATAATAAAAGTGAAAATTAAACTTTGTGTGTTAAGTGATGGTTAATATGATCTAATTATGATGATACTAATATTGAATTAACTTAATTATTTATACAAATAATCTCTTTAGTGAATACTAAAATATAAATAATTTAAATTATTGAAATAGACTTAAAATGGACTTACCGCCCATAAACTAGTTCCTTCAATTCAATTAGTGGACTAGAGGTAGACTTACTTCATTTATAAATGCTAATTGGAACTAGAAATATCAACTTGAACACATACTTACCTCACATAAACCCACCTCACAGAACTTGTTACAAGCTGAAGCTGGATTTTTGCTTTGTAAATTTGTGCTAAAAAAGCCACCCATAATTATCAAGAGATTCGATTTTATCCATAAATTGAGATATCAATGCATGAACATAGCCAATGGCAAACAAATAATTAATATTGGACTCTACATTATGCTTCTAATATTATTCCAGAATATTGAGTTTATTCCATCACAAAAAAAAAAATCACTGAATACACATCAAAATCACATCCCAAACAGCTAAAAAAAAGAAAGAAGAGGAATTGAGTTTATTCCTTCTGGATGTGTTTGATGCCATAATTAATTTAATTAAATTCAGTCAACATATATGTATATATTGATACAGATTTATATATATATATATAAATCAAACAGATACATATATACATATAAAATAAATTATCATTTAATAATAAATATTGATACAGATTTATATATATATACATACAGATTTATCAACATATATGTATATATTGATACAGATTTATATATATATATATAGATTTAATAATGTATATATTATCAATATATATATATATATATAGACGATACAGAGATCTGTATATATATAGACAGAGAGAGAGAGACAGAGCATACCTGTCGTCCTCGCCGCAGCAGCACCGCACCACCGCACCGCCGTTCGCCGTTCAGCTTCGTAGGGATTTGGGGCAAAGAAATTGGTTTGAAACTTTTAGGGATTTGGATTACGTTTTTGATCGAGCGGCAAGATGAATCGGGAAGGGGGCAAATAAAATTTCACTTTTTTGCGACGGTAGGTTTTACACCGTCGCAAATGGCAAGTATTTTATGCATAAAACGGCGTCGTTTAAATTAGATTTTTTTGCGACGGCCAATTGCCGTCGCAATAAGTAGATTATTTGCGACAGCGGACGTACGCCGTCTCAAAACATTTATTTTTTGCGACGGTAAAAAAATCCGTCGCTAATACTGATGCATTTAATCCCTATGCGCGCATTTAAATCCTTCATTTGCGACGGTTTATGCTGCCGTCGCAAAAAATGTTTTTTTGCGACGGGAAAACCGCCGTCGCT